CCTGCACACAGCAGGGGGTTGGAACTGGATGATCATTGTGGTCCTTTTCAACCCAGGCCATTCTATGATTCCTTGAGTGATAAAATAAGAACTTTACATTGGGAAATTTCTTTCAGTTTATCCAATGCTTGAAATTATTTGCATTTCAAAGTAAAATAGGTTGCCTCTATGTAAGTGAAATGGGATTATTTTGCTCTGCTCAAAGACTGAGCAGGCTATCATACAGCCCTGCAGCCTTGGACAAAAGCTGAAACTCAAGAGGGAAGAGCATAAATGACACATTAAAGTGGTGTGTCATAAAACCTATGATAGGTTTAAAAATGGATCTATGTTAAGGAAAAAAAAAGATGAAAGGGCAATTGACAGAACAGCATTACTGTAGTAATAGTCACAGTATAGCTGAATGAGGAAAGATAGTGGAATGATTCAATGATTCTACAGTTTCAGCAGAAAAATGCTCCCTAACTTAACATGCTGATTAGAATATATACACTTGCTGCAGTTTCAAAGTTTTAGGATTAAAAAAAATCAAATGCTGCTAATATCATCTAGAACCCAACTTTCAAACAGAAGTCTCTCTGAAAGGCTCTTTGATAAGTACCAAAGTTGCAATAATCCCCATCGTACAAGAAAAGTGTGACGTTCTGCTATGTGGCCATGTCACATTGTTCTTGCACACTCAGAGTTGTGCCTACGCTGCTGTAAATCCATGCAACAGCATCACATGTTTAATTGAATGACAGTAATCAATCAGCTTGCTCCCTGTGAGTTTTCTTCCCTCCACCCCTTGCTCTTCTCTAGGGCAGCAGCGACTGCAGATAGCAGGGCTAGAGTAAAGCTGTGGCTTCCCTCGGAGCCATATTTGACTTGGCAGCTTTATTTGAGCCAATCTGTCCACTCTGCTTAGGCTGAAATGTCACCTCACATCCCTGTTTCACTTCCAGCCTTCATCTGGTGTGCCAGCAGTTGGGTGTGGAGCAGGGAGGTGACATCGCTGAGAGGAGAAGCTGAGCTTCTATTGCTGCTAGAGCCGTCCAGCTTTAAAGCAGACATCAGGAGCCCAAAGATAAATTCAATTCCTCTGCTTGTCTGTATTTAAAAATAGATCGAGCCACACAATTGCCAGGAATGTGATTTTCTGTGCTTCTTCTGTAGATCTGAGTGCAAAGTAATTTTGTTTTACATGGGCATGATATTCATTGATAAATGATTGAATTTATTTAACCCAGCTCTGATGCATTTTCAAAGGCCTTCTAATTGCTCAGCAAACACCTACCTCAAGCTTATGAAATCCAGCATTTGGATATATTGTAATGAAGTCTTTACACTGAAGTTAAAAATTTCTGATTGGGTTTTCAATGGGTTGTTTTTTCCTCCTGGTGTTGGCTTGGGTTTTTGTGTTTGTATAACATCTTTCAACAGAAGCTACATACGGAGGATAATTTTGTAAGGAAGACAGAAGTTTTGGAGGCTCTTGCCAAACATACTTCTTTTCTAATAGAATTCACAGGTTGCATGTTTCAAGCCTGTAGTGCAATTCACTGCTGTTAGTTTTGTTACTTGCCAGGTAGTGGATCTCTGATATTTGGGCTGAGCTGATTGATGTCTGACTAATTACTTTATTACTTTGTGCCTTGATGCAGCTCTCTGAGAAATGAGTATTAAAAAAAAAAAAGAAAAAAAAAGGCTTGAAAGTAGGAGAGGAACTGGCTTATGCTGAGCAATTAGAGAGCTTGTTGAGTGTGCTTAGATGAAAGCAATCGAGTGCTGTAGTATCTCTTGGCACTACCTCTTGGTTGATGCATGGTTCATTTTGTAAGGTGTTTTCATTTTAAGCAAAAAAGGTTTTTAAAAAGATAGAGAAGAATATGCTGCAACTCTTACAGAATACAAATAGTTTGCATTCATCTTATTACCCTTCTGAGGGTGTTATTCGTGGTGGGGTTTCGATTCTTGATATTTTGGGGACTGAAGCAGGGCTCATCTGCTGAGGTCATGTTCTGAGGCCTCCCTGGATGCATGGGATGTCTCATGGAGAAGGCCTTGAAACAGCGACGCATAGGGCAACAGTGCTGCAGCAAGACCTCCCAAATAGCTATCCAGCCCTGGTTTGCCATTTCTGCTGCTTGAGGGCCAATCCTTAATGCTAGCACATATTTCAGTAACGGTGTGTAAGAGCCACGTTCCCTTCAGGAAGCCACTGCTTCAGGCCTTCAGTACAGCCATACAAATTGCTGAGCATCAGTCCGCTCATTCTGCAGATGGCAATAGCTCAACGTCTGCCAGGTATCTGCAGATTTCAGGCTAATTCTCGTGGCAGCACGCTTCTCCAGCAGGAATGCTTTAGCAAGCCCTGAGGTTGCTGTCTCACAAGCCTGTGAAGTGCTTTTACAGAAATGGAATGGCTTGCAACAGCACACGTAACCTTTGGAGCACACCCAGCCCGGCTCTGTGCCACCACCAGTCGCAGGTGACGGTGCAATGTTCCCTTTTTGTGACATTTCATAAAGAGACAAAGACAGAGCATTACCTATTGATGGCAACGGTCGCTGTGCTGCTCGTGTCAGTGTCCTCTGGCAATGTGGAATGCTGTGTGTGACAGGGATTTGGTTACCTAGAAACAGGGCTGTAAAGAAACTGCCCTTGCAAGGGCCTGAGCTGAGGTGTAACACCGACATGCTTCACTTGCTTCTCGTTTGGCAGCTGCAGGTGTCACAGGTCTGAGTGAGATCCTCTGCCCTTTCCCAAGCACTCTGCAGCTCACCATGCTTTTTGTTCTCTTTAGAAATCCAGAGATTTCCAACACAGCTTTTGACATTAGATGCTATTGGAGGAACACGTGAAGGTGGGGGCAAAGCTTGCAATTTGTTGCTGGTAGAAGTGTCTGGTTCTGCTTTCCACGTATCTGAAATGCTGAGAGTTGTTCCATGCTTGCCATTTTTTTTAATTTTTTTTTTCTATTCTTCTTAAATATTAATTCCATTTAAGAAGAGCTTTGTTTGTTTCATACCTAAGAAGCTGCACAGAAAAAAAAAAAAATGTTTTCCTTCAAGGCCTAGTTACATCAGTACAATTAAATGAACAGGAATTACTGCACATATTTTTTGAGACTAATGTCTGTGTTCCTTCTAGGTGAGTGCATGCGTTTCCCATGCATTTTCTCCCACATGAGAGCTGTTTTCTTTTCAGGCTATTAAAGGGTACAAGAGAGAGCAAGAGCACTTATTCTGCCAAAGGTGTCAGACAGACTGGCACCTACTTCTTGGTCTAATAGCACTTTGATTTTGAAAAGGAAAAAAAGAAAGGCATCAGCTGCCGTGTGAAATCAATCTTCCAATCTGTAGTAGAAGAGTTTGCTTTGTGTAGAAGAAGAGGGAAAAAGCTCTCATGAAAGATAGATGCTTCATCTGTGTGTTTGCTCACTGCCTTCAGCGTCCTTCCGTGCTCTCTTTTTTCAACACTGCATCAGATACTTAATAGACTACAAAATATTGGATGTAATTAGGAGCCTGCTGCTACCGGGATACTAATGAAGGAGTTATTGCTAAGTTAGTCATACCCATTTTGAGGTGCCATTTCAGCTTGATACATCTCTAATTAACTGCAGGAACTATTTGTGAATGTTTGCAGGCTCATGCTTATTTCAAGAGAAAGATGCTCGAGAGGTGGAAGGTTCTGGAACACATGAGACCTTCTACAGGACATTCACTTCCATTTCATACCCTTATTAAGCTCCGTTGAGGAGTATATCTTCTTCATCAATATCATAATGAATCTCAAGTAACAAAGCTAATCTATGCTCAGCACTTCTGAGCTAGGCTCTTAATTTGAGTAAACTGAAGCCCTCCCTGGTTAGTCTGAGCATCAGAAGGCTGCCTGTATCCGGAGGTATAGTTCCATTAATGCAGCTGCTTAAAATAATTAGGCATCTTTCTTTCTGTCAGTTATGCTGGGGAACAGTTTGCTGGGATGAAACCTTCTGTCTTGAACGTAATCCATGAGGCCTAAGTAATGTGAGATCTTAGCAGGGGGAAGTTGGGAGAAAAGGGAAAGGCAGCAAGAGAGATTAGTGCTGACTAAACTTAGTAGTATATATTAGAAGCTTAGAGAAATTAATCTCTTAATATGATAAATAGACAGCAGGACTCTGAAATTAAGCTTATGATCTGAAATGTTTAATATAGGGATCACAGAATCATAGAACGGCTGGAATTGGAAGGGGCTTTAAAGATCATCCAGCAACCTCTTTTCTAGGGAAGTGGAATCTGTGCTCAGGAACTCGAGGTGGGTGGTTTGGGTCCCTCCCTTTTGCCCCCTTTAAAAGGACAATGTACTGATTTGCTCAGGAGTTTGAAGAAATGAACATTAAGTTTGAAATGACCATTGAACAAGGGAAAACTCACTGTGTGGTTTCAGTGTCATGAGATGGACGCTTCTATTTCTATGGTGTAGAGCACCAGATTGCTGCTGAGGCTGATCCTAATCTTCCAAGGAACACTCCTATGAGGCTTAGTATTGCTTGCCCCATTTCTGGATGAGGTAGGCTTTGTCGTCAAAAAGCAATAAAAAAATCAGTCCAAACTGCAAAATAAAATGCTGCTTTGATGGTCAGAAGACACTTGAGTAAGTTCTTATCTCTTGTAAACTTCCCGTGCTACTTCTGGTTTCTCTGGATCAAATTATCTTTAGTTTGGATCTCAGCTTTGTTAGAATGCTGGTCTTGCAGCTAGATGGGATAAACTGATGTCAGTAGAGTGACTTTTTTCTGCTAGCTGTTGCATGTAGTAAAATACTGTGTACCTCACACTGCAACATCTAAGAGAAATGCACTTGAAATTCCAATATTTATTAAAAGAAAAAAAAAATGTAACTAGATCCGTTCTTTAGATACCATTTGAAGCCCAATGGGTGGTATTCATTTATGGACTTTATTCAACTCAATTCCTGACACTTATATATTTAAGCAAAAAAATACATAAATATGAACTTGATTTTTTTTTTTTTTCCTATTCATTTCTGAGAAGAAGGCATTTTATAGGGCTCAACGTTTCATGTCTGTGCTGGAAGATCTTTTAAAAGAGATCAGAACAAAAAGACCTCATCTTTCTGCTGGTTTTGCCCAGCATCTTTACATTTTTCCTTTCAAGGTAGCATCCATCTCACAACCTACTATCGTAAAATTTCCAGACTTTCAGTAATCTCTGTATTAATTTCCTAATACTGAAAATAAGTAATTACTCACATTTTTCAAAATGTGCTCCAAATTAAGAGGCTAGACTGCATTTTCTTTCACTAATTATTTCAGGAGAGCTCATCTACAATGTGTGTGACCTTTTCTGAATTTGGGCCCATCTGGCATTTTCAAATGGAATTGAGTATTGATCTTCACACTGTTAATTTATTGTTTAATTAAAAAATCATAGTGCAGTGATGTGGTTTGATTGCACATCCTTTTCCACATCAACCAATTAATGTGGAGAGCCATCACAAAACTATCACTTTTTATTATTATTTTTTATAATGGAGCTTCCCAGAAACGTAGATGTCTTCTCATATACTACACTAATGGTTTGGAACACCTTTTAGCATAAATGACCTGCAGAAACTGCCACAGAAAGTAAATTCTCCACTTATATCGTTTGGGTATGACCAAGGTGCTATGCTTCCTGGTCTTGATTAACGTTTTTGGAACATGACTGAGCATCTTAGGTCACCAGTATCAGGTAAAAAAATGTAGAGTAGTGGTTATTAAAGACCAGTCATCTTAGTCAATGAGGGTTTTGCTGCACTGCTCTTGCTTTTAGGAGGAAGAAACCGTATTTCTTGAATGATGCAGTACCATCAAACTTTGTGCTTTAAACTTCCCTTCGTATGAGTGAAAAACATTTGAAGTGAACTTGCGTTGTCGCCAATCTGTACATCATCTATCTAAAATGTGCTTAGGTGAGGCTGACTGTGGTGTACATCCTGCAGAACACTTGGTTCCAACTGCCCTAATAGACACCTAGAAGTGAAGTCCTTATTGCTCCTGCCTTATATTTTACAACTTGGTCTTATGGAAGTGTAACATCTCCTGCCTCCCCAACCCTTATTAATGTTTCATCTCTTTGGAATGCATCAGAGTCCTCCTGAAATAGTTTGGTCTTCAGCACACCTGTGTCTGAAATATCAAAACCAGGTACCTACTAGATGTGTTCAACTGCTATGTCTGATAAGGGGACTTAAATAACAATTTTAAAGCAAGCATTTGCTCCTGAGGAAGGAAAAGAGAAAAATCTTAAAGCGTGCCACACAACCAAGCCTTCCTTCAGCAGGTTCTGCCTTCTCTGGTATGAGGATTCCAGTAGACACCAAAGGGACTTTTGAGGATTGTGAGCCCATAAGTCCTGCTTTGCTCAGGGCTGGCTGGGCAGTGTTTCTGCTGAGCATTTACAATGTGGTTACATCATGGTTGGTGAAGTGTTGTCAGGAGATACGACGTGTGGGCCAAAAGTGCTTAACCAGTGAACAGTTATAAAAAGGAGATAAAGCATGTCTGTCCCCACAGGGGAGAGGGGAAAAGGTTTTATTCTTCTCTTTCTCTTCTTAAAAGTTGTGCATGAAATAATCAATACTTTTGCTGCAAAAATTTTATTTTCTCAGCTATGAGGGTAGAGCCCTTTTGTAGGGCTGCCTCTCTGCTACTTTCTTATTCAATAGTTTTGAGACCAAAAAAGGCAAATATTTAAATATCTATATGTATCCAAAATCATTTCTGACCAGAATGAAAAGTTGTCCATTATATTCACTCATTAACATTTTTATATTACCTGTATTGTTATCAGTTGTTGTTGTTGTTTTTTTTTTTTTTAATAGAAATAATGATCACATTTAGTACAAAGGCACCCACAGATAAATCAGTGGTGTTGGAATTAACGTGGCCTAAGCCTTCAAACAAAGGTAATTATCAGATAGTAACTTCTGCTTCGTTGTTCAACTCAGCTGTTTTCCACGTGCAGCCCAAAATAAGTGGCGTGTCAAAAAACCAGTTTGTTAAGAGATCATCCTTTAAGAAATGACAGAACCAGGAGCCTCAAAATTATGGCAGTTGTAAAATGAAGAGCAAAATGCATAATTTCAAGGAACACTGTTAGAAAACTGAGTATCATTCTGATGTAGAAATGATATCTCAGCGTTCTTTGCAAATAAAGGCGTATATATAAACATTAGCAGAACTTCAGTGTTCAGCCAAACAGAACCCACTGAAAGCAGTTTATCTTTGATCCTATGAGAACAGCCTGCGGTTTGCTGTTATTAAAAATCATAACTATAATTGGGAATAGAAGAAAAAAACCCAATACCTTTCTATTGCATTTGTCTTTAAGATAGAAGCTTAAAGGAAAAAAAAAAAAATCAGGAAACTTTTACTTCTAATTTCTATAGCATTATTTCTTCACTGTGTAAGTATCTCAGTTATGCAGAATTGTGACAAAAGCATACTTCCAAAGCATTTAAAACCTATTGGTAAACATAAGCTGTGATCCGAAGCCCATTGAAATGGAGGAATGGAAATCTTTCAGCTGCCTTCTCTGGCCTTTGGCTCAGGCTCTGGGTTTATTACTGGGGAGAAGTCCTTAAAAGTCATTTTCAAGTGCAGTGTCAAAAGGAGATTTTATTTTAATACACCGTAAAATACGGAGGAGTAGAAAGCTGCAGAAGGACCAGGTAAACGAGGAAAACAAATGCTGCCTTAGCAGGTCAGGAAAAGGTTGCTGTTTTTACAGTTAGAAATAAGCCCTCAATTGAGAATGACAGTAAGACTTCACTGCTCCAGTGCAAGGAAATGAAGGCGTATCGCTGCAAACTGACATCTGAAGTGCTTGTGCTACTCCTATGGCTGTGACACAAAGTGAGAGGAGAAATAGTAACAAGGGCTGTTCTTAAG